AACGGATGCCTTAGTAATCCCCTTGCGGTCGCTTATCTGGTGCTAAGTTAAGAGCTCCCTTATCAGCTGATCCTGAGGCAGAAAAAAAAAGACCTATCTCCGACGCCGGCAGAAGCTCTAGGGACTTTTCCGTCCCAGATCGACTAGGGCGTCATGATTTCATCGTCCAATTCCAGATTCACTCACACTTGAACCAGCGCACAGCATCTTAAACCTTGTAATTCCTGCGCTTTCTCCATCGAATCATCTTCGCAAACATCACACGCCATCACAATACCAAAAGATCGAGACGATACAGTTATCAGATTTAAGGCAATCGTAGCTGCTTTGGACTAAATCGCTGGCTCTTTGCGCTGGGGGAGCGCATCGGGCAAATTCTTTGAGATAGGGGACGACATGGCGACAATGCACACACAAGGGCAGAGACATGATAGATTAGAAGGGGACATGATGAGCGAGCCAGCGCGAGGTGGCGCCGACGACGCGCGCACGACATCACAACCTGCGGCGGCGGAACAAAACCCTATGGATATGGATATCTCGATAGCACAGAAGATGCTTTCGGCTGTGTCTGGCAGCGTCCTCACTTCTCTACTTGGTACGCTGAACTTTCTACCAGGATGCTCTACTGCTTGAATTGCACAGTTGCTAACCCAAGTCACAGTAACGCCGCTGGACGTCGTCCGAGTGCGACTACAGGCGCAACAGGGTCCGTTCCCATCTTCCCGCCTCCCACCCTTTATCCAGCTCCCTCCAAATCTCGGCGTGACAGCTTGCTGCCGTGAGGTCTTCTGGGTGCAGAATCAGTCCCAGTTCTGTGTCGCCAGTCCCAACGCTGTCGCTTCTGTTTCCGCTCCAGCACCTGTCATTGATGAGGTGGTCATCTCTGACTGCGCGGCAGAAGAAACCCAACGACGAACATTCAACTCCACCCTCGACGGCCTACGCAAGATCGCGCGCAACGAAGGCATCTGGACGTTATGGAGGGGACTCTCGCCGACACTGGCAATGACCATCCCTGGGAACGTCATCTATTTTGCTGGGTATGACTGGCTGCGGTCAAACCCTCACAGCCCTATGGCTGGACGGATATCAGACAAGTATCAGCCTCTTGCTGCAGGTAGTGCGGCGCGCGTCCTGGCTGCGCTTTGTGTCTCGCCGATCGAAATGCTTCGGACTCGCATGCAGGCCACCGCAACCGGCGAGAAGGACATCATGCGTGCAACAGTCACCGGTCTGAAAGAGATGGTCAGCGCCGAAGGCTACACCTCCCTCTGGCGAGGCCTCAACCTCACCATGTGGCGTGACGTCCCCTTCTCGGCCCTTTACTGGTGGGGCTACGAGTACGGGCGCGAGCGCCTCGACGAAATCCGCAAGCGCTCGCAGGTTGAGGACTCTGCCCTCCAACAACACAACCGCCCTAGCAGCAACACCAATACAGAGCTCTCCCACCGCGCCTTGCTCGCAGACTCTTTCATGGCCGGCGCCGCCTCTGGTGCCATTGCCGCTTTTGTCACCACTCCCTTCGACGTGGGCAAAACCCGCCAGCAGACTGTCCTACACGACACCACATCGCGCCTGAAGGATCTGCCTGAGAACCGCGCCATGCCTCGCTTCCTGTATCACATCTACTGCACAGAGGGCATGCCAGGTCTCTTCAGGGGCTGGGCAGCGCGCTGCCTCAAGGTTGCGCCTGCCTGTGCCATCATGATCAGCAGCTACGAGATCGGGAAGAAGATGGCTGTTACGGTCCGCGAGGGGCGGGAGGCGAGAGAGATTTGAAGAGCTGCTTTCCGTCTACATCTATAACTTTTTGCGACATCACCTCGACAGCCCCAACACACGGGTTAATGTCTGACTTGCACATCGAGCGCTGGCGATTACACGGCGTCTGTTTTCATCCTACTTATCAGAAGTACATTGATCTCCCTGGGATTGGGTTATCTGGGCCGGCATCATCTCCAACAACCCTCAAAACTTTTGTATTGACTATTGCATTTCTCCTGCATGAGAGCGTCTGGCGCTCGCACGGGTCACGTCATCTTCACGGCTTGTTTATGACTGGCTTGCTTCTTGCACTTGTACATATCAACTTGAACTGAGCATCGCCACATGGGCGTGTTTGTTCCTACTTCTATATACCTTCATGACCTTTTCATCTTGCGTGTCGATAGCGGTCGAGTTCGTGGTGACCGTACCCAAAATGCTTTATTCCACTGGTTGGCCTTTGCCTGTCTTTGAGAATGGGTTCACAGATTGCGGTATGGACCACTAAGGTTACTTCGAGAACAAACTTCAGACTACGCAGATACTTTAAAGCTGAGCTTACAAGAAAGACATGACGATATTGAAAAGTCTCTCATTCTGGCATGCACACATGAGCGCTCCAAAAACGTTTAGAGGATAATATAGAATTTGATTTGAAGTATATAGTTTGACGGCAGGTTGAAGCCGTTGGTATGGAAGATGCCTTTCCATCTCCATATACGAGGAGGTCGGAAGGAGGGGAGATACGCGTAGAGATGAATCCGTAATATTGCATGAACACCACGCTGTTGAAACTCCATGCTTGAAATACGATTTCTTCCATGTTCTTCGTTGAGGATTGGTCTTTTCTTCTGAGACCCATCGCCGCCATCCGGTTTGAACGCCTCGATCCGATTATGCACGTATTTGTGGCCCCTTTTTTCTCTCTCTCTTTCAAGCATAGCGTGGTCGTCAAAGTACAGTCATGAGTTAGTGTTGATAGTTTAGACTGGTAGAGGGAAGCTACCGGCCCAGGCGGCGATCTCCTTCTTGAGTGTGATGATCTCGTCGACCTGGCCACTAGCGACCTTGGCCTTGAAGTCCTTTTGCTTGTTTGCCTCCTTTGGAAGAGCCTGCTGGACGTTCTTCGCGATCTTGATGCAGGTGTCGATGTAGCCGGCGATCCTGGCGAAGTCCTGCTCGCCCATGCCACGGCTGGTCATGGCTGGCGCACCGATACGGATGCCGCAAGGGGTCAGAGCGCTCTTGTCACCTGGGGTAGTGTTCTTGTTACAAGCAATGTTGACCTGGTCGAGGACCGCCTCGACACGGGCACCGTCTAGGGACTGTGGCTTCAGGTCCAGTAGGACCATATGGTTGTCCGTGCCGTCTGTGACCAGCCTGTATCCAAGCTCTTTAAAGGAGATCTCGAGTTGCTTGGCGTTCTTGATGACTTGCTGCTGGTAGGCGCGGAAGTCATCACTCTGGGCCTGTTTGAGTGCGACAGCCAGGGCGGTGATGGTGTGGTTGTGTGGACCGCCCTGGTGGCCTGGGAAGACGGAGAAGTTGATTGGGCCCTCAAGATCGTAGAGGGTTTGCACCTCCTTACCGGCCTTGACCTCAGTCTTGCGGACGCCCTTGCGGAAGAAGATCATGGCACCACGTGGGCCACGCAGCGACTTGTGGGTGGTGGTGGTGACGATGTCGGCATACTCGAATGGTGACTTGTTGACGCCGGCGGCGATCAGACCGCTGATGTGTGCCATGTCGACCATGAAGTAACAGCCGACCTTGTCCGCGATCTCACGCATACGCTTGTAGTCGATCTCACGGCAGTAGGCAGAGGTTCCGCCGACGAGGACCTTGGGCCTGTACATGAGCGCGTTCTGCTCGAGCTGGTCGTAGTCGATAATGCCGGTCTCGAGGTTGACACGGTATGGGAAGGTCTCGAAGTAGGTGGAGACCGCAGAGATCTTCTTGGTTGGGGTCTGGTATCCGTGAGACAAGTGACCGCCATGAGGTAGGTCCAAGCCCATCAGTCTGTCGTGTGGCCTCATGATGGCCTGGTAGACCTGCAGGTTGGCAGGAGAGCCAGACAGACACTGCACATTGACACCCCACTTCTCTGAATCGAGGCGGAAAGTTGCAAGGGCGCGGCTCTGGCACATGAGCTCGATTTCATCGATGTGCTCGTTGCCGCCATAGTATCTGGCACCTGGGTAGCCTTCGCTGTACTTGTTGCTCATTGGGCTGCCCAAGGCATCGAAGACTGCGCGAGAAGTGACATTCTCTGAAGCAATGAGTAGGATAGACTCCCGCTGACGCTTGATCTCCTTCTTCATGATTTCGCTGATCTCAGGATCAGTCTCGACCAGGCTCTTCTCCATCAGATCCCGGTGGGAAGCTGGGAGGGCGTAGTGAGCGCCATTGACTCCGTTTGCAGCCATGATTGATAGCAATTGACTATAAATCACAATAGCGTAGAAGGGCGTAAGGCAGGGAAAAGAGAAGTGGTTGTAACCCAGGAAAATCTGCTCCGAGTCAGGACGGGAAAATATTGTCTAGCTTTTTGCCTGGTACTATAGATGCCCCACGTCTCGGCGGAGGGTCCTCTGGAAACTTTTGACAGGCGAGAAAAGTCTCCAGCTTTGTTATCTGGTAGTGGGGTGATGATCATCAGTGACAGGCACCATGCACTCGACATCATTGATGGTTGGGTACTAGCTTTGGTATAACGTTTGGCGTCCCGAATGGAATCGAATCACCTTCCATTCTCCATATAGGTTATACCATTTGTCGCCGGCGAATTACTGATCTGGCGAAGTTTCACGACTCACGCTGATTAACCCCCGAGCGCCCCCTTCCCTACCGCCGAAGGCTAGAGTATCGATTCCTAGTCAACCACGAGATGATTGCAGGCTCTCTCCATACTGAAAAAGTTTTGCGTAGCATTAGAAGTAACCGTTAGAATAATTGCGTCTCACACCCAGGTGTTGAGTGTTGCCGTTGCTGACCTAATGAGAGAACAAGACAATAAGGGCCATGGAACATCTCAAACAAGTATGCCATCCCTAGACTGAGGCCGCAGACATGCCATTTAGTATACCTGCTATCGAATACATGTCATCTACTATCCAACAGGGCCAATCATGCTGTATGGAGAAATCTCATCACCGGGCGACAAACCTACGATTATATTCGACGTACCTTGCTACGGATTTCATCTGGCAGCGCTTTAGCGCCTTCAATTCAAGGCTGCCTTAGCTCAGGGGTAGAGCATGCGATTGCAGTAACAGTCATCGCAGGGTCACTCGTTCGAATCGGGTAGGTAGCTACCTTTTTGGCGGAATTGTTGTCAATGTACATTTTGAGACGTTGTTGGCAGAACCACTCGATGACTTTTTACTCCACATATAGATGACGAGACGCGATAGATGCACGCAAAAGGAACGTATGGTTGCGTGTGAACAATACAACAACTAGTCCTATTCTCGACCTCAAATGCCATCTTTCAGTGTAGGCATACTTAAGTCTGGCAGCGTTTCCCTTGCTGACTGATGCTGGATCCCCACATGTACCACCCACCACCCATCAGGCTCGGCTACCTCAGTCGTGAGGTCCAGACTATAGATTAGCATCCTCCTACAGACGTATCTACAGCCCTGCTATTTCCACCAACTTACAGCTTCCATTCAACCCCCAACTCACTCTCACAAGCCTCGCTCTTGTTTCTCTTGAACCAACAAAGATACCCGTCCTGCGTTATTTTCGCTTTGCTTGATCACAAAACCCATCGCGAGGCTACGAACCCCCCCGCTTCAGCCGCATCGCCAACGGGAGACCGCCCGACCAAACTACACGAAACCGTATAGTCAGATATGGCGGCACCACAGCCACAGGTACAGCCGTGTCGGTATAAGACTGGCAAGACTCTGGGAGCAGGATCGTACAGTGTGGTCAAGGAATGCGTGCACATCGATACGGGTCGCTACTATGCGGCCAAAGTCATCAACAAGCGCCTGATGGCCGGCAGGGAACACATGGTTAGAAATGAGATTGCCGTTCTCAAGAGGGTGTCTATGGGCCATCAGAACATCCTGACGCTCGTTGATTACTTTGAGACTATGAACAACCGTATGCGCAGACCGAGAAGCCCTCGAGATCGCTCCTAGAGCGATAAGGCTGACGTGAAGCTTCTTAGTCTACCTCGTTACTGACCTTGCTCTCGGCGGCGAGCTGTTCGACCGCATCTGCCGTAAAGGCTCGTACTACGAATCGGATGCTGCAGACCTAATCCGCGCAACCCTGAGCGCAGTCGCATACCTTCACGACCATGGCATTGTCCACCGTGATCTCAAGCCTGAGAACCTCCTCTTCAGAACGCCAGAGGACAACGCAGACCTCCTTATTGCCGATTTCGGTCTCTCTCGCATCATGGACGAGGAGCAGTTTCATGTCCTCACCACCACATGCGGCACGCCAGGCTACATGGCGCCGGAAATCTTCAAGAAGAGCGGACACGGGAAACCAGTCGACGTATGGGCAATCGGTGTCATCACCTACTTCCTGCTGTGCGGCTACACGCCTTTCGACCGTGACAGCAACTTGGAGGAGATGCAAGCAATCCTCGTGGCCGACTACAGCTTCACACCGCTGGAGTACTGGCGCGGCGTCAGCCTGGCAGCGCGACAATTCATCAAGCGATGCCTCACCATCGACCCGACCAAGCGCATGACCTCCCACGAGGCATTGAGCCATGCCTGGATCGCCGGACCCGAGAGCGGCCGTGGCGAGGAGGACCTGCTGCCAACCGTCAAGAAGAACTTCAACGCGCGCCGGACGCTGCACAAGGCCATCGACACCGTGAGGGCCATCAACCAGCTAAGAGCAGGCGGCATGGGCATGATGGACGGTGCGACCAGCACGAACCCGCAGAGGGTCGACCACGGAAAGAACCCAATGGAAAACGTCAAACCCGTGGACGAGGACGTCAAGATGTCGGACGCCGTGACTACGGATCCTAGAGGCAATGCCATGGGCCAATCTGAGGAGCAGATCGCTGAACAGCAGCGCAGGATTGAGGAGACAACAAAAGGGTTGTGGCAGCAGCAAGCAACCCCACAGCAGCGGGTGTGAGCTGTCTGGGAGCCATATGCCAATCCACATTTCTGATTGTTTCGAGGGTTTATGTGAGACGGTCCAGAAATTTGATGAGTATGAAGCACATTGGTGATCGGGCATCATTGGAAGCTGCAATGGAAATGTTTACGTCTCACAGTAGGTAGTGGGGCCAAGATACCCAGCAAATCCGCGTTGCAGAGACAGGTGCTCGCAACAATAGCGAACAAAGGACTTCATGGATGGGACACTCTGCCTTTTCCCTTCCCCTGTCTTTCCTCTCGGTCACTTGCATGCTACTCATCGTGTTACGTTTCCACCAATCTCCCCCCCCAAAGCCACGTGATGCGTCATCTGACCTGGCGCCAGACCTCTTCGTTGTAATCCCGCGCCGAGCTATGCCTCAGCTTTTCGCCATATCCGTGGTAAAGCGCTTTTTGGCCATCGATAGCCTATGCCTTCCTCGGCCAGTGTGGAGTCTCCATGGGGGCGGCGTCACTGCGGCCAGTAAATAAGCGTTCTCCAGCTCCTCCCGTCTTCCGTATTGGCATTGTAAGCAAACAGGCAGAACGGGTAAAGACGAGGGTGAAGAGTGATGGCGCCTTGCAAATGGGGAGTCCTTTTTTCTTTTCTGTTGGGAGAGGCTACTAGAGATAGCGGCCCTTGCTAATTTCATAAGACATGCAGCAGAATGTGGACTGCTGATTCCCTCACCGATCGATGGCTGGACGTGGGAAGCGTCTGCGCTATGTCCATGGATCAGTGCTGGACCCGGGCGCTGGCGATGCGTAAGGCCGGGCAAACTACCACCCACGCGGCCTCTAGGCACAGTGACAGCCAGGCGCCAGCATCTGCCGTGAGGGCTTTTTGGTCGCCTCTGGAGCGAACGATGGCGCTGCTGCTGCTGTCACTGCTCGGTATCTTCTCTCGAGCGTGATATGTCGGCGGCCCGGCTGATTGGCGCTAGAAGAGGTCGAGATTGTTCTGCCTTGACACCTTCGACGCCGTCAGGTGTTCTAGTTGGCGCCACTGGCCAGCCGCAGCTTGTGGCGTGTGGGTTTGCTTGACTCGCGGTGACAGCGAGCGCTGCTTGGACACTTACTGCTGCATTAGCTGAGGGTGAGATAATGCACCTGGATGCTGATGTCGGCTCTCGATTCCTGAGGAGATACCCGGTCGTCGTGTTCGCTCACTTCACGCGTCACATTCACAGCGGTTACTAGTATCGTAGATGGAGATCCCACCTGAATGGAGGGGTCGTTTCATCCCAGAAGCGCTACTGACAAACCTTACATCTGGCAAAGCCAACATCGAGGTCACGATCTGGCCGGGCTGCCGAAGTCCTTCCCTTCACGCCATCCCGCAACGACGATGGCATGTCCGCCTGGCAAGCGAGGACTTGCATTCCGGGCTTGCTTCATGGTTCATGGTTCATGCTTCACCACGTGGGGACGGCATGTACTTGCGCCCCGTAGACTCGGATGTGGGTTCGGGAAGAGACTAGGAAGACGGTGGAAAGATCAATCCTTCCTCGCACTGCTCGGTGCCATGGCGGTGGCACTAATGGGCTGTTTGGCCATGGGTATCTTGACATGGGTGCCTTCCATGCATGTAATATCGAGAGGCTTATGGGTAGGGCTAAGTCGAGGACACGCACTGGGAACGGGATGGACACGGACACACACTGGATGCTGACTTTGACCTCCATGCTTGTAGTGAGGTCTGTTTGTGAAGAGCACGCTGCAGACGAGACTGTACTGGAGTGTGTCATTGTAGCCGACAAGACATGACCTCTGATGATCGCCGCGCGGAAATCAATACGATTGTTCCCAACCCATCGGCACGGATTTCCATCAAACCTCACATCATTAAAGCCAAATTGATATGACGAGACGCCATGATGGCCACCTTCGAGATGATGATCGCATAGCTTGAACCCAGCCCTCGCCACACGATCACTCATTCGATCGCTCGGTCTCTGCCTGCATTGGGATTCGCATGCAGGCCAGGCCCTCGCTGTCGCTTCACGCTCCATTACGGCCGACCCTACAGCCCCTCCCCTCCCCTTTCTAGCCAGAAGGGAGCCTTTCCGGGAAGCATTACGGCGTGCCTGTTCCTGACTTGTGGCCTATCGGCCCTTCTCATGTGCGCGCCCAGGCGATGCATCTCCCCGCACTTAGCGGGGAAACACGAGCGCCAGGTTACCTCATCTGCAGCTTGCCCTGGCGGGGTCAGCTGTACCTACCTACAGCTGCATCCTGCCAGTGCTTCCACACACACACCCGACTAAGCTAACAGCTGTCTTGGTGTGGCTTTCGCAGCAAAGGGAGAAACTTTTTCTCATCCATGCGCGATTGAGTCTCGATGGCCACCACGCGAATCGCGTCACTTCTTGTCCACTGCATTGCCTTTCCTGGCTAATGTCGCCGTGCACACTTTGACTCGCGCGAAGGTTGGTCGCTTCCTGGTGCCAAAGGGCCTGCATGCGGCTCCCCACAGACATGGAGAACATGGGTCAATGTAGAGTAGTGCGCAGTGAGTCGCGACGCTTCATAAGGCTGTAGGTGTTGCCCTTTCCCACTTCAATTGGTTACGCCCTCTCCGTCAGGCTCCTTCTCTGTTATCGGAAGCCGTCATTACGCTCGAAGGAAGAAGCCTGCCGCAAGTGAGGATTCAGTTCGGTATGAAGACCATCGCAGCAGCTGGAGCACTGCTCGCTGCCCTACCACTGGGCGAAGCGCAGCTTGCAGCGAGATATGGACCAGGTCGTGGACACGGCGGTGGTCCCGGTTGGGGTGGTCATGGAGGTCCACCACACGGCCATGGACCTCATGGCGGAAAGGGCGGAGAATGTGCCAACGCTGGCGGAAACGCTGGCGGCGCTGGCCCTGCACAGCTGACCGCCGACGGTATTGCAGCGATGGGCAACAACTCGCTCTTCACTCGATGGAGGCCAACCAGCCACGTTCTAGCACCAGCTGGGTGGATGAATGACCCATGCGGAGCGATGTATGACCCTGTTCGAGGCAGTAAGTCATGAGTTCTTCTCTGATCACCTGGCTTTCCTTAAGCAGGCGAGACTAACCTTGCGCGCTCAGAGTATCACATCTTCTACCAGTGGCACCCTAATCATATCAACTGGGGTAACATCTCCTGGGGTTATGCCACCAGCGAGGACTTGGTTCACTGGGAGGACCACGTAGGATGGAGAGACGC